AAAGTACATGTTGACAAACCAGCCGTTTTGGGAGAATGCCTTTGAACAGATGAAACAAAATTTGAGGTTTTTAAAGTAAGTCACAATAGCTCTATGTCCACAGAATAAAAACAGTGCTTTTCAAGAAAAGAATACTATCTCTACAGTGAAACATTGGAGAAGGGGCCATAATGTTCTAAGGTTGCTACAATGGTATGTGGGAAGAACCTTGGGAGATAGGAAAGAGATTCTAGCTATGGAATGGTCAGATAAGAGAAGGCATATCCTGCAGCTGGATAATGTGAGAAGGAGCAAAAACTAGTTTCTTAGATTCTAAGGGAAAAAGTGGCAGATGTGTACTTTCAGACTTGCAAGATTGATGTCAGCCTTACCAGGAAGATTAGACAGGAAATATGACCAGATGAATTAATTCTAAAATGTAAAGATATGCTAACAGGAGGGTATGATACTAGTTCGCCTCCTCGTGGTGCAAACAGCCTCTAAGATATTTAGGCCCTAATCGTCATTCAGTGTAGATAATAATCTACTTGTTGATCAGAAGCCACCTAGTATTACAACATTACAATATAAAGGACTGCATATATTACAAAACGGTGCTATCAAGGCCCAAATTCCGCCAGACTGCATTGAAAAATACTATGATTTGTCTACTTTTATGTTGGTGAATACAGAGATTCTATAGCCTTTAAGAGTATGAAGTGAAAAATATTATTAATATTAAGCTAAATTTGAATTGGTTATAAGAAAAAACAAGAGACGTAGTATGAAAGCTAGAACTACATATATATTTGAGTTCCTATCAAAGCTGCCCAATTTTTTATTTGGCATTAATCTGTTTGAAATAGAACTTGGTTCTTAAGTATTTCATGTGATTCATTTCAAGACAACAGCTGAATCAGAGGACTAGACAGTTGCTTTCTGGCCCAGGACATCACTACAGCAATCAAAGTAATTTAAGTATCATATTCCAGATGAAGTACCTATTGAAAGGGATTCAAATTATTAAAAAAAAACATTGAGAGCTGTGAGGCCATATTATCAATAACTTTGGCTCAATGTAAAATATTTCAGACTAGCCTACATAGATTCTTCAACATAATACAGGGCTTATTTAAGTAAATATTTTATTACTGCCTTCTTTAAGCAGATGGAAATAAATCCTGTGTCCGAAAGATCAGTGCTCACCTCCCTTAACTAAATGACCAATCCTATTTGGTTAATGTATCAGCTAGGAGGAAAGCTTAAGGACTGAGTAAGCAGGCATTGGCTCTTATTTCTCCATATTTCCTGTTCATATCCCCAAGATCTTACAAGATGAAAATAATCCATATGAACTATTACCAAGCTTACCTCCTATGACCTGTCCAAACACTGGAGTCCAAGTCAAGGCAACTCCGATCGACTTTGTCTGCAAAGAACAATGAAAACTGCTCACAGCGAGCCTCCGACTGTTCAGGCTCCCCAACTTAACATCTAGATGGGGGAGATGCCATACAGTATGGAGAGGCATTGCTGGTTTGTTCTGTGCAGATGCAATGGAGACAAAGAAGTAATCCCTCTTTACTGTATCTACTACCACAGAATAAGATTTTAGATGGGCTTTAAAATACACACCATTCTGTGTTTGGTCTGACTCATCAAAATAATTCCTCATTTCTACTTCAATCTTCTATGTGTTTGCTTCATTGCTCTCTAATAAACCAAAGTGACAATTTAGCTCTATTAGAGGGAACAAGATTTAGAATGGATAATGTAAGCCACATAGGCAGTCTCCATGTTCTTTGATTAGCCAGGATTTCTACATTATCATGAAGAAATGAAGTGACAAATTCCTTGCATGCATCCTAGAAGTCATTGGATTCATCAGGCCACTAGATCAGAGCATTTTAGCTTGTCTATCCCTAGAGAGATTTTATAGCAGTTGCCAATCTAACAGTATTCCCATATTGTCTTGGCCACAAGTTCAGAAACAAACAATCTGATTTCACATATTGTTGGATACAGAAATTGGTCAGCAACCTTGAACTTCTATAGACTTTAAAATCTATGTCTTTTGCTATCACAATTCCAAGACATTTATTGTTTGCAAGAGGTTTTTGGTTTGTTCAAGTTGCAAACTTCTAGTTCAAGTTTTAAAATAGCACTAGGTAATAATTAAGAGTAATTTAACCAATCAATCAGTAGTTGAGATTGGCTTAACTGATTTAACAACCAATTCAAATGAATTCCACATAAATGTATAACTCAAAATATGGAAAACTAATCAAGCAATAGTCATAATGGAAATTTTATTCATCTTGTTAACAATCCTATCCATTAGTGAAATAAGATATTGCTGAACTCCCTTTCCATTTTTTAAAAAATTATATCATTAAAGAGTCAAATTATGGCAGAATGATCCTATTCCATAGGCAATAGGATAGCTTCTTTTAAAATACATACGCTCAATTTTAACAATATGCTCAATATTCAAAGGATCACCTAGAATTATGTAGTTGTTAGCTTGTCAGAATACCTGACACTGCTATATACTGTACATAGTATTATTTCTGTAACATATATCTATCTTTTGGCATATATGTAATCAGATCATCAGTCAGGACAAAGCAGTTTTAAGGCATAATTGGAATGTCAAAAATTACAAAGGAATCATGTCCATCTGCATCCTATATGAAATTATTCACCCAGTCTAGACTAAGAGGGAAACAATAGAAGCAATTTAGATTTTACCCCATTTTTTAAAAAGATTTATTTGCTATAACTATTCAATTGCTGAGAGTCAGTTTTATGTAATAGTTAAGGCCTCAGGCTAGAAACCAGGAGACTAGTGAGTTCTAGTCCCATGTTGGGCACACAGCCAACTAGGTACCCTTGGGTCAGTCACTTTCTTTCAGTCCTAGGAAGGAGGCAATTGCAAAACACTTCTGAAAAACCTGGCCAGGAAAACTGCAAGTCCACAGTTCCTGAAAACCGGACATGATTAAACAGAAAGAAAAAAAAAGTTCCATTTGCCTGTATGCATGTTTCTATAGCTTACAATTTTGTCTCAGGCTGTAATATATAAATAGATATTGGAATAAAACACCTTAGAACACTCCAAATCTCTTTAAGAAACCTGTTCTGTAAATGTTACTTTGAAAATTCCACTACTTGAAAAGGTGGGACAAAGAATGTTCCCATTTATTCATTTAGGGAAACTTTCTAAAAACTGGATCAAAACTGTTAAGAGAACATTTCTATATACTGATTGGGGGTGCCCATAAATATTTATGAGATGCAGCACTCTGGATGCATTTCAAAACAACCCCAGAAATGCCTGCTTTAAGTAGCTACAAGCCAGGTCCTATATTTGTGCTCCTGTATTTGTGCTTTTCAATGTGAAGCACTGTGATTATTTATAATTAGAATGTATTCCAAGATCTTGTTGCCGAGTTCTAAATGTATTAGGGCCTTTACTATGTATCTTTTTCTTATGATGCCTTGCTGTTACAATGACCTTTTTGGAAGCTATTATTACAATGTTTCAGAAGAGTTATTCGATCAAAATATTAAGCTACTCAACATGCTACCGAGTCTTAGAAAAGGACTGTTTCTTCAGCAAGCTGATATTGAACACACTTGCTTTCTTAAACATAGAGGCTCAGCTGCACAATATACTCTTTCATAATAACACTGTATAGCTAGAACCGGGATGGGAATCAGGAAAAGAATCATAGGGAATGTAATACTTGACAACATTATTTAAGTGAGCTTGTCCTGCTGTTATACATTTAATCAATTCTTTAAACAAATCATTTGATTATGAATCTGTAACTAAAAGACAGACACTTTCCATTTAGGAATATATAACTCAAAAGCAGGCAATATGATGACCAAATTTACATTCACACTATCTTTATTTCTAGGAATGCCTCTCTGTGCCATATCTGACCTTCAGTCATTCTTATAAAATAAAAATAATGGGTGCTATAGCCCTAACTTTGGAGGGGAAAGAAGGAAAAATCCAGCAGTGGGGTAGTGTGACAGGAAGCAGAATCATCCGTTTGCTTTTGTTTGTGACTTGTCATAATTACCATGATAACTGTTAAAAAGCTAAAACTTTCTAATATGATTTCAAATTTATAAGAATGCAATTGACTCAAAACATTACTGACTTCTGATATAATTAAACATGAATGTAAGCCTAGTCATATTGAGAATGTTTACACATGATTACCACTAAACTGACATTGTAACACAATAATTCTATTTTCAGGTATAAATGTTAACTCAAAACATACTTGCTTACAATCACACTTAATACATAGGCCCTGGTAATTTTTGCTTTCAACAATCTACTTTAGAATACTATCAAGAAAAGCAAAAAGTTGAATTTCAATAATCCCATGTTAAACCCAAAAGCAATTGTTATTCATTAGAAATTTCTCATACTGAAGATCTATTTATTATAAGAAATAGATGCAAGGCCTTTCCACTGATTTCATATAAATTTGTGCTAAAATATCTGCTAGTTGTCCACTTCCAGTCCACTTCTAAACATTTATAAAACCAAACCATCTGATTACTAGATAAATTTTGTTTCTTCACCTTGATTTTTCCTTAAACAATTTCCCCCATTAATTATGCAGTGAACAGTACAATTGGATAATACTTTTTAATCTACAATATGTTGCAGTTAATATCATTTTACTTATATATCCTCTTTTCCATTCTTCCTTACCAACACTATACATATTTAACTGAAAATTTGACTTCTTTAACCTTATTCACAGGATTGTTATCTTGAAGTCTCTTAAGGATGAACCTTTGCTAACCTACATAAAACAGACTCTTGTACAGCATACAAGGTTAATATTAGTTTCATTTCCATTACCTATCAAGGGAGTACAAAAATTTGGAAGCAGTAGCTTTTCCAGCACACTGAAAATTACTAAATTCATAGCTGTTATCATTTCCAAACAAAGCTCAGACAAAATGTAATCAATAAGCATTAAACTTACATAATCATGAAAGGCTTTAGCTTCACTTGAGTGTTCACATGTTTCACGTCTTTCTGGTGCTGCACAATAAAGATCCCAAAACACACTAAAAATAAAAAAAGAATGCCCAATTTGTAACATATTTTTTCAGGTATATCCCAACTATACACATACATTATAGTAATTATTAGTTTATTACCTTCTTCATACTCTGAAAGCAAAATGTATGCAGCATTTCTATTCTGTTGGAACTACAGATACAGTACTTAAGAATAATTACAGTGATAGCCTAATTGACTGCTATACAGATAAATATCTTAATACTATAATTTAATTGTGTTAAAATGAAAACATTCAAGGATCATACAACTGATAAGCATCTAAGTACCAAATAAAGTTCGTTTAAAAAAAACTTTAAAAAAACGCACACCAATACTTAATCCAGAACTGTTTAACAATTGAGATTAACAATTCGTGCCTAAAAACATTAGAAAACCACTGATTTTTGTTATCATTATATCATTAGAACAAAATCATACAAAATCATAAACAATTTTAAAGCTCCAGGAGAGATTGTGTTTATATAAAGGACTGAAAGGGAGAAGACAACATTGAAGATACAGGACAGCTAAAAGTCTCTTAGATTAAAAACATTTATTAATTATAAATACTATTATTTCTATTTAAAAATGAGTATCTAACCTAAGCTCATATTTCTAGCCTTAATTTTCTTTTGCACTAATTGGTAAAATACCATGTTATTTTTGACTTGAGCTCTGCTTCTGGAAATTTTAGACATTTTCTCTGAAGATTTCTTGACAACATTGCTTTCTTTTAAGATTTTTTTTTCAACCTTCTAGTCTAGACTACAACCCTGGAATCCTCTGGTGATCACCTAATTTAGGGACTCCATCCATCTAATAAAAAAAAATTAAGACAACTAACTTAAATCCTTTTCTTGTGTAATAAATATTACATGCTTTTGAAACCAATTAATAGTATAGAAATTAATTATGTATATAATATTTATTTTTCTGAGTCTGATGTTGAAATCAGGATACTGGTAAATCAATTTTTGCTCTGAAATCTAGCATCTCAAAACTGGCTAACCTTATTAGGGCTGGGCAGCAACAGTTCCGTGCACGTTTCACAAACACTAAAAGATATACAAGTATAAGCCATCTATTGCTGCACTACTCATTAAAGCATTCTGTTTTTTCATGAATCTGAAAAAAATGCAACTGCTTGAAAGAGGGTAATCATTAAAGTTAAAATTATTCTTAAATGAGCCACATTATTTTTTTACACCGGGATGGAAGTCTGAAAATTAAAGAAATTGTTTTTAATGAATATTATACAAGGGTTGTTCTTATATGACAACTGAATAATATCCTCTAAATCATTTCTGATACATGTACAGACCTATTCTTTTCTTCCGCAAAGGATTTTCTCATTTGTGCCAGTGGCAGATGCCACATAGAAGGATGTGCATGTATAATCTCCTCCTGCCCTAAAATTAATACTGTTGCTCTTGTATATAGAATCCTTCTCTGTGTACATATAGGGGTATTGACAGCAACATTCACTGGCTTTAAAATGGTGGGAATAACTGGGCAATCAAAGCCCCTGTCCTTTTTTTAAACAAGAGTTATGCACAATCTGTGCATATAAATTAGGTAGGGCTTTAATCACCTGTTCACATTGATCATTTTAAAGCCAGTGATTGGCACTCCAGATGCTCCCAAATATAAAAGAGCTCTGAAGTCAAAAACCTACTTTGTTTCTGACAATAACAATTTATATATATGTGTGCTGGCATTTCTGCAGAATCTTAACAAGCAGTTGTCACATCAAACTAGTTTAGGTGTATGTTTGTAGTTCTATGGGAACATCTGAAGAGGGGAAAGCATAAGATCTGGAAAATTTGAGTATCAATCCTTCTGAAAGAAAAATGAGCAAGGTTAAACTGAAATAATTGCATAATTAATTTTATCTTTTCGAGCAAATGAAATGACAATTCAATATTAAATGCAGTTGACACTAGTCTTCCAGTTAGAAATTTTTTTTATTACCTTTGATAAAAATCAGATTCTGTACATGTATAATACTTTAACAACCAATACAGTCTTTGTAAACTGAAACACTTACCACCACCAAGAGTGCAAGAATCCTGGGGGTTCGCCCAATGTGATGTTTTTTTCCCATCTTATCTAAAACCAATGCAAATAATGATTATTTCTTTAGGCAAGATGGATTCACATGAAAACAATAATAGTATTTAGCTAAAATGAATTTAAATATGATTTTTTAAAAATCAACACAGATCAATTTTAAAAAGCTGTTTCAACTGGTATAATATATGTTGTCTGTGTCTGAGGGAGTAGGTTAGTTTGAGTGTATAGGCTTATCTGTCAGAGTGAGACAGAAAAACAGACTAAATATGAGTGTGCAGAGCAAAATACACACTCAGCTCCACCAACCAACAGCTAGCTATTGATTCTTATGCTTTTCCTTATCTGCTAGTTATGGCAACTGTTCTACACTGCCTGATAGGACCCCCAGCTTAATCTGTGTTTTTTGTAGAAATTTGGACTGGCTCATTTCATGTTTACCTTCATGTGTTTTTATCCCAGACAATCACACTTCTAAAGTAGAAAATATCACATATAGGATAACTTTTGCACTATAAGAAACATTTCACCTATTCTATTTTTCCCCCCTCAAATATATTACTATGTTTATAATAGTGACATTCAACCTATCACTATTTAGAGTAAGAAAAGCTATTGCATGAGCAGAAGTCTATTTGCATTACAATGCACATGGAAATTAATAGTATCTATTTATGTTATTCATCCCTTATACTTTAAAATTATATAAATTTATACATTAAGGCCACACAGACTCCACGCTTTGGGGACAACCATTCATCTCAAAGACACAATGACTGTGTTAGTAATGACATAGCAACTTCTTTCAATATATGGAAGGAGAACAACATTGTGGCTTCTGCATATGTATAATTCTTGCCCACATTCAGTAATAAAATGATACAATTATAAGTAGTGATACAGTGAGTTTACGCAAGTGAAATTAAGATTAGTATATGATGCTCTGGTTAATAATTTGCAACAGCGGTCTAATATTTTCATTTTATATGAAATTGACCATTATAGTGTTTTTCAGCTATTAGTATAGTATGGCATTAGTATGGCATTATTATAGTATGGCATTAGTATGGCACACACACAGTGGTGGGATTCAAAAAAAATTACTACCAGTTCTGTGGGCATGGTTTGGTGGGCATGGCAGGGGAAGGATACTGCAAAATCTCCATTCCCTCCCCACCCCACTAATCTGATTTCCAGCTCTGTTTTCCTGTGCAGAGCAACAAAAGAAGACCCAGCCGATCAACTGGGACTCAGGAGGCAGAGAACAGATGGGGCAGGGCCAGTCAGAGGTGGTATTTGCCGGTTCTCCGAACTACTCAAAATTTCTGCTACCAGTTCTCCAGAACTGGTTGGAACCTGCTGAATACCACCTCTGGTGCCACATATAGCAATAGTTTAGGCTGGAAAAAAGCACAAGATCTCCAATCTTAGATTGGAGAAACCTGGAAAAAACTGGGGCTTTGGAGTCAAAATAAGGATTTATGTTAAGTAGCTATTTCTCTCTCTCTCCCTCCTTCTCTCTGCTTAATTTTTCTTTTTCTTTTTAGCTTGGGCTTAAAATAATACTATAACCACAGTGACAATCAATGTCTCAAACCCACTGTGTCTTATTTGATATGTAACAAGATCAATGATATAGCCACAATTTTATGGCCTTAAAATTATCATAACAAATAATTATAAAAATGGAACATTTTTCATTTAAAAGTTTCATTTCTAAACATTTATATACTATATGTCAGACTACCATGATTCTCTATAGAGTCACTGGTAATTTTTAATATAAAAAAGTAGTCTATTAATCCAAAATTAAGAAAAGAATAGAAAACATACCTCTGATAAAAACGTCTGTGCAGACTTCTGTGCTCCTACATGGAGAAGATATTCATATACATATAGTGCTAACCTGGAAACAGAAGAAAACCTATTAAAATTCTAATTATTTAATAATTCCAAAATAAATAGATTGCAATATATATTAAGCAGAGATAAATGCAGTAAAGACATAGTTTTACTCCAAAATATTATATATGGACAACAATACTAGCACAGCTTAAAAAGCATTTATACAAAAAGCAGAGTCTGTCAATATTTTATTATCTTGGACAAATGCCCAATTGGATAAATGTTCAGGTACTATTAATCTATATTTATCCACACAACTATGCTTACAGTAAACAATATACCATATCTGTAATTACAGCAGCACAGAACATTGATAAATTAATTCTTAACCATGATACCTTTTCAATTCTTACCACATTATTATTACGGTTGGTCACATAGCCAGCCAAATATTTAAGACTGGATTTGGCATTTTTATCCATCTAACAATTCCTTTCCATGGACCCAGGATAGGCAGATATTGTTATTTGATGGTGTTAAAGATATCATTATAGGATGTTTTCATTTTTTGCATGTTTGCAATGAATAAATAACCTTTTTCCAGCAGCCTGGATCTTCTGGCCTAGATGCTTAGCCAACAGCAATATCTATTTTATCAGGCATGTTATGAACAAAATGCCTGTCTGTTTGGATCTTAAAGGCCCATAATAGCAATAGCACTTAGACTTATATACCCTTTTATAGTGCTTTACAGCCCTCTCAAAGCCGTTTAGAGTCAGCATATTGCCCCCAACAATTTGGATCCTCATTTTACCCACCTCGGAAGGATGGAAGACACACATACATGCATATAGATACACACACACTATTGAAGGAATGTCTACTTTGTTCTAAACTGCAGTTTCCTTTATCAATACCAATTAGGGAAATGACACATTAATTAATAAACTGAATTATCAAATAAAAAATTAGTATGAACAAAAATAGTACAATGGATTCATTATCTTTGACTTCTAGATGTTACATTCTGTTAAATTCTAAGAACAGTAGAAAATTGCAGCTTACAACAAACCAAAAATGGAAGCTTTTAATACCTCCACATATATGAAGGACAGTACATGATTTATTTTCCTTAAATAACTATTTTACAGAACAAAAAGTTTAACTACATAGGGTGAAATGTTATACTGAGCTAGGCATTTAGAATTTAGACTATGTAAATATAGCAACACTATAAACTTATATTGGCTTCAATTTGCGGGATAAATACTACAGGTAAACTGATCGATGTTGTAAGAAGAGAATATGCACCAGTACTGTATAAATGGAATTTATAAAAGATAATATGCTTCAGCTATCTATACCTTGGGAAGAACAGAAGAAATATTCAGATGTAGAAGTTGGATGCTATTCTATATATTCAATCTTTCCTGCCAATTCATGACAATGTATAAAAGATAATTGTAACTGATATAAATTTAAATTTCTTTCATTACATTACAGCAATTTACATTTCATTCCATGGCTTCTTTGTAATTATCAAAAATTGCCTATTTCTTTAAAATTACATCTCCTATCTAGTACGACAACAGTCCTCTGACCTGGAGGGTATACATATGTTCACATGTCTCATGCATTATAGCTTAAGGAGGAACCAAAGGCTACCATACAAAGGCATTAATTTACAGTTAAAAAAACTTAACTTCTGGATAAGTAAAGATATTCCATTAACAGTTCTGCAATAAATTCTGCTACAAATTTACTAATAACCCTTCAGCTTGAAAGGTAAGGTTCAATCACATTGGCCAAAGTAGATTCAGAAGTATCCAGAATTTTTTTTAGACAGTTTTAAACAACCACCCGATTGATTTTAATCATTCAAAACAATAACCAAGAATCCAGAAATCATCAAGTAATCCAGATAGTCCCGAGTTATATCTTCTTATTTCTTTTTCGACTTTCTCTTCCTGGGGTTTTTGTTGCGATATTTCAGTTAGAATGTATCTTTTGGAAGTCTTGTTGAGATTTTGCTGTAAGTTCTTTTTTAATTCCAGGCAGTCTCCTCCCTTCCAGATCCTACCCTTTTATTCTTTTTCTCTCCTTTCCTGTTTTCAAAAGCTTTTAATTATCCAGAAATCTTTATTATCCCTTTGACTTTTTATTTTCAGCATTAAATGCCTATTGATGTCAAAGTGGATTTTTTTTCCAATTTCTTGCTTAAGTCTCTTAACTGTCAGTATAGGAAAAGGAGAAAACCAAATTTTTTCCCCTTTCTCTCTCCTTCACAGCTTAAAAATATTCTTAGGGAACAATGTTATTGTTTTTTAACAGTTTCAATTCCAGGGTCCTTATTTGTTGCTTTTGCTATTTGACCCAGTCAACCAAAACTTTCTCTTCTTATCTTCCTCCTGCACATTCTTTTCCGGTCGAGTTCTTTGTGGTGGCCATTTCTGACCCTTCGAGAAAGGGAGAAAGGGAGTAATGGCCAGCTGGGGAGGAGAGATGCGTCTCTCCTCAACCCTGCAGGCGGTCTCCCCCCTCTTCACCACCTCTACGGGGTGGCTTAGCCCCGAAACCAGCTGGCTCGGGGCGCTCCAGCGGCGAGCGCGGATTGAAGCCTTGCAGACGAGGCTTCGGTCTGTCGCTGAAGAAGCTCAAACTGGAAGTGCCCCCGAGCCAATCTTTTTTTGTTGAAGTTCTTTCTGGATTGAAACTGCATATTTTGCCAAGGTCCACTGATTCAATTGGGCATGTTCTCTAATTCAATATTATTAATTAGGAATAACAAAAAAATCATTTGTATTCAAATACACCCAGAAAAATAATTAGATATGGGTTGAAATCCTCACTCACTCATGAACTTCACTGGGTAATACAGTGCAAATCATCATTTATTTGCATTCCATAACCTGTACTTTTTTACTACAACTTGACAAACCAATCAATTAGAATTGTATAGGTCAGTGATGGCGAATCTATGGCAAGCGTGTCATGGGTGGCACACAGAGCCCTCTCTGTGGGCACGCCAGCCATTGCCCCAGCCTGACTCCACTGTGCATGCATGCACCTCCCGCTGGCCAGTTGCTCTTCAGGTCTCTGCTGCGCATGCGTGGGGTGGGGCCTTCACCAATCTCTGCAGTTTCCCTGCCAGCATGCCCTAGCTTTCTCTCCCTTTCTCCTGCATTCCTGCTTTCTCCAATCTCTGCAGGCTCCACCCTCCATAGGTGCCTCTCCGTGGCAGAAACAGAGGAGAAAGCCTGGGTGCGCAGGGAGAAACTGCGGAGATTGGGGAAGGCAGAAACGGAGGAAAAAGCCTGGGCGTGCGGGGCAGAGAGAAACTGCGAAGATTGTGAAGGCCCCCCCCCCGCCACTTTTTTGGGCCTGAAAAGCCTCCTGCACCAACCTGGAAGCCAAAACGGGGGCCGGGGCACTTGTACAGGGGGGTGCTTGCATTGCATTTTGGGGATTGGGGCATGTGTGTGTGTGCATTCGCGTGCGCACGCTTTGGGCACTCGGCACCAAAAAGGTTAACCATCACTAGTATAGGTTAAGCTTGATGTTAGGTGTAGGCCTTTGCTTGGTAGCATGGACTTCTTAAGTTTCTTTAGATTCTACCCAACTTGAGGAGTTATAGTTCCTGAATCAACCATGCCAATTTATGACTTATTCCAACTGGGCAAGCCAACAAAAGCATTAACAAAAAGTAGGTCATTTTAAGGTTTGAAATGTTATTACTGTATCCTGATGTACTCAGCTAGTTAGAATCATTAACGTAGATAAATATAATTTTAAAAAATGTTGCTGAAAAATTAACTTAGAATACACACACACACACAGATACATACACAATAAATCTGAACATTATCTTTATCAAAAAATATATAAGTCAAAATTACATTCTGTTTCCCCATAATGTCAGCAAGGAAAAAAACAATACTAAAAGAAATTAAAAAACACAAATGGCTTGCTGATACTGGTTAAACTGCCAAAAATCAGTTTAAAACTTCTTGTTCCATAAACACCCCAACATTACACAACAATGCACATACATGGTTGAGTTCATATCCGAGCTGTTACACAAGTGTGCAAAAAAATGACATTTTCAGGGGACCCAGAGAAGACTCTTTCCCCCCCTCCCCCCCTCTTCTGATCAAGCTGCAGGTCCTGAAAGTTACAGACTACAGAAAGGATTTCCTTATTCTGCCTGGAATTCAGGCTCTCTGCCCAACGGCCCTGGGAGAATTGAAATAATTAAGGTAAGCTGGCAAGAAAAGTACAGGCAGAATCATCAGAATGTTTTGTTTTTGTTAGTGCTGCTTTGTTCAATTTGATTGTTGTATGTAGATTCCCGTTTTCTGACTCTCTGTTTCTTACTTTGTTTTGCTTGTTGGTAAACAATGCTAGCTCTGGGATGCCTACATTCCCATTCCTATAACTTGAGATGTATTCTCCCAGTAATTATTTTGCTGCATCTGCTAGAATAAAAACATGCAATTCTTGGTTACTCCACTGTTGGATATTTACTAGCACCACACAACACAAAATCACTTGGGCTTAGCATATCTGGTTGAAAAGAAAAGTAAAGCTATTTATTTATAATTTCTATGGCAGGATCTCTTGTTCTGCCCTATTTAGCTTCACAAGGGTTTTTGAGGGGCAGGGTGCATCTCCTGAAAGGGCATCTAAAAAGTAAACTACCCAGATGGAACTCTTGTCTGAGAAATAGAATGGGTGTTGGTAAATTTACCTGTGAATGCCCTTTCTATCTATGCTGCGAGAGAGCCCAGGATGGGTAGACTCCTTATGACGTCTTTAAGCTGGGTCTGTACTTGTATATATAAAAAGCCAGCCCCGGGAGAATCCCCAGCTTTGGCGAAGATACTTGACAGACTAAAGAAATGTTTCTGAAAGCAAACAATCCAATACATGAACATGTCTTACCATCTCCGGACGAATCAAGGGAGGGGCTGGGCTCTCTCACAGCATAGATAGAAAGGGCGTTCATGGTAACTTCTACCAACGCCCATTCTCCTCCATGCTGCAGCGAGAGCCCAGGATGGG